GTTTAGAACTCCCTACTCTCCCCTACTATCTTGCGAAATCTGAAGTTTGAACAGATTCGAATCCACACCCTCCTTACTCCCCCCTTTTTCCTCTACTCAAGAGAGACCTCAAAGGTAATCATTACACCTCGGACGATGAGGTGAAGGCAGCTGTCAAGTCCTGGATTCGAGAAAAGTCGGAAGAATTTTTCAGTGACGGAATGAAAAAACTTGTTACACGTTGGGAGAAATGTGTTAGCCTTAACGGTGACTATGTTGAAAAATAAATATATGATTTTGAAGCTTAAGAATTGTACTTTAATGTACTTTTTGCCCGATCTCGCTATTTGTTTTTGTTCGTGTTCTACAAGCATGTGTGTATTACTTTTCAGCCTACCCACGTACTTCAACTGGTAATTATTTTTTCATTTATTACAATTACTCATTTGTATTATAATTACGAGAAAAATATACGTTAATAATTAAATAATAAATTAGGAGCGAAATCTAATTTTTTTCGATGTTTCTTGAAAGTGTGCGAATTAGAAATTTGCACATTGCTTCCTCATCATTGAAGCGTGCAAATTGGAAATTTGCACATATTTCTTCCTCATCATTAAAATAGATAAATTAGAAATTTGCACATTTCTTCCATTGTTACGGCTTCCTCATACAGGAAGTTTTAAGAGAGAAATCTAACTTTACTACGATGTTTCTTGAAAGTATTCAAATTATTCTTATTTCGTTCTTAAAGCTTCCTCTATCAGGAAGCCATGTGCAAATTTCTAATTTGCACACTTTACTTTATTTTTTTTTCTAATTAGAAATTTGCACATTGCTTCCATTGTTATGGCTTCCTCATAGAGGAAGCTTTAAGAGCGAAATAAGAATAATTTGAATACTTTCAAGAAACATCGTAGTAAAGTTAGATTTCTCTCTTAAAGCTTCCTTTATGAGGAAGCCGTAACAATGGAAGCAATGTGCAAATTTCTAATTTATCTATTTTATTGATGAGGAAGAAATGTGCAAATTTCCAATTTGCACGCTTCAATGATGAGGAAGCAATGTGCAAATTTCTAATTCGCACACTTTCAAGAAACAGCGAAAAAAATTAGATTTCGCTCCTAAACCTTCCTCTATGAGGAAGCCATGTGCAAATTTCTAATTTGCACACTTTACTTTACTTTTTTTTAATTATATATTATATTGTTCTTCAGTTTTTCAATCCAAACGTATATAATTCATTAAAATATGATTAATTAGTTCTTGAGTTATAGACATTTGAAAATTTTGGAAATCATTATTAAAGAAAATTTGCGATAGTTAGAGCAACCACAGACATTTCTAAAAAAAATTAAAAATTAAAAAACCTTTTACCGGTCATCGCCATATTCAAGAGGTATGCCTCTACCTATGTGTATTGTATCTTTTTGCTTCTACAAGTGTGTACATTTCATCATTACATTGTGTACCATCACTTCTGAAACACCCTGTGTAATGAAAAAGAGGGGCCTCTACCTATGTTTATTAGGACTTTTTGCTATAATGTATACATTTCACCATTACATTTTGTAGCATCACTTTTGAAACACCCAGTATAATGAAAAAGTGTTCATGTACGGATTCCATGAAATTTCAAATATCTATAACTCAAAAACTAATCAATCGAATATTAATCAATTATGAATGAAATAGGGGTAGAAAAGACTGGAAAGAATAATAGAATTAGAAATAGCCCGATATCTCAAAATTTGCAAAAGTTAGAGCAACCACAGACATTTCTCAAAAAATTCAAGATTTGTTCAAAAAGAAACCCATTTACCGATCATCGCAAAAATCAATACCAACCTTCCTTTAGTGATTCTCGACATTTAAAAAAAAAATAAGCCCGATATCTCAAAATTTACGAAAGTTAGAGCAACCACGGACATTCAAATGCGTACATACACACACACGCGCGCGCGCGCGCACACACACACGCACACGCACACGCACACGCGCGCACACACACACACACACACACACACACACACACATACATTTTGTAAAAATATGATTTTTAGACGTTTTAAAACATTTTAAACATATTGCCAAAGAAAACTGGAAAAAAATTTTTTCACGAAAACAAAGCTTCCTCTATGAGGAAGCAAAATTAGTAAATAATAGAAAGTATAATAAAACATACAGGGTGGTCTAAAAGTCCCGGAACGGTTGAATATCCCGAGAAATTGTGGGTGGATCGGAAAACGGAAAAATACGTATTTCCTATTTTTGAAAGAGCTATCGAATGATACCAAAATTGACCCCCCACCCCCACCCCTGTGGGTGGGGCGTGGGACAACTTTAAAATCTTAAATGGGAACCCCTACTTTTTATTGCAGATTCGAATTCTACGTCCAAAAACACGTAAATTTTGTCTAAACCTTTTTTTTCGATTCCTGATAGATGGCGCTGCATTCGGCGAAAATTGGTTAAATCGTTTTCTTCAAGGGAAATCCCCATGTTTTATTGCATAATGATGCTACGTTGAAGAAAAGTAACTTTTGTCTGAAACATGTTTGTCGAATTATCGTAGATGTCTACTATAA